ATTTCCAAGTTCTCGTTCTGCAACTGCCTATGCTTGTATGTACTTCTGACTGCATCAATTCTGATTTTTTTGCGTTCATTCGCACTCTCTTCAGCTTGCGGTCATTGCAATGCAATTTCCTTTGCTTAGCCTCGAGAAAATGAAGAATTATTCACTAAAGAATGCTCCATTGTGTTTCAACTGGTATTTGTTGTTGTTGTTGTTATAGGTATGCGAGATTTACTATGCGACCGAGTCCATTAGGTACAGTCTGTGTGCAAGTCGATAGTACTCGAGTACGAGCGGAGGAGTCAAGTTGAGGGTGTGTCCGGCGTAGAAGCATGACCACAACAAAATAAATAAATCTAACAAATGGCATTGCATGCAAGCATGTGTACGTACGTGAGTGTGTGCCATGGTGTCATTTATTGTAGCTGCAGTTTTGCGCTTTCAAGCGATGAGAAAGACTTTTGAACACAAACTGGCGGGGTTGACTTCCTCTGCTGGTTAAGATCTTAAATATTTTCGATTTTTCCTTGAAATAGAAGCTCATGTGAAGTGAATCACTTTAAAATATAAAGACGAATTTAGACTGTATTACCAATAAGGTGGCTAGAAGGAAGAAGATATTGTTCGCCAAAGGTTACATGGCTTAAAGAAATTGATCAACAGTCCCTTATATTAACCTCCCAAGACAAATGCGTACGATATCAATTTTTGTACTTTCAAGATTAACTTCAGGGTCGCATGGAAACTTTTAGAACTTTCGATCGGGAAGATAGTTTTCACCTTCAAAGGGATCCTTTCACATTTGGTGCAAAAACTTGGTTTGACCGGAGCAAAGTCGAAAAGCTAGTTGAGTCAAATTATGAAGTCTCGCTATACGTGGGACATTCCTGGTATTACCAATTGTTTTATCGTCGCGGGTTGGTAAGGTTGTCAATCTCTCCGAGTGTATTTCTGACATAAAGTAAAGGCTCCTCAAAATAATCCATCAGCCGCTCAGAGACGGATTAGGACAATGTGTAGGTTCCTTCAAACGATAATAAATTTTATTTAGGAAGGCTAACTAACTAACTAAGCTAACTTACAAAAACTTAAAGGCAGGGAATACCATAAATGCATGGGTTGGTTGCTTGAAAGGAGAAGTTGAGAACCAAACCGTAAAATCACGACCTTAAGTCAATAAGCTCGCTGCCAGTGATCATGTCTGTATATTTCTGATAGAGTGGAGCTTAGCTCACCACGTTACTGGATTCCGCCCTCCGCTTAGCATGCTCTCCACTCAGCAAGTTCACCTACCCAGGAACCCACATCAATTATGTCTGAAAATGCAGACAAAACTACAATATCTCAAGTCCAATGAACGTCCTGAGAAAACCCTTGCTCCTTGAGATAGCCAAAAAATTTTCCGCCATGAAACTCTCTGCAAGGCTTACAGAAGCTCGGTCAATGATAATTTCCAACTTCTAAAGTGCTGCGGTATCCAAATGGTTAGCATTGCGTACAGCCACTCGGAAGGCTCGCGAGCATATCCCCGTGGGACCAACATACAAAAGGTATGGAAAATTAATTTAAATAAAAAGTTAAGCTAATTTTCTAATTGCGGTCGCCCCTCGGCAGGGAATGTCAACCACACCGAGTGTATTTCTGACATGAAATTAAGTTCCTCATAAAAAAACCATCGCCCGTTCGGATGCGGCTTAGTATAAACTGTAGGACCCTCCATTTGTTAGAAAAACATCAAGACGCAAAAGCACAAATTGGAAGAGGAGCTCGGTGGAAAATCGCTTCAGTGTTACAGAGCGCCAAGTGCTGTGCAACTAACTAATATCGACGGGAGAATGGTTCGATGAAGAAAAAGTCATTATCCTCGCTGGTATCGGAGAGTCACAGGAAACTAAGTTCCGATTTGCTGAAGCAAGTAATAGTTTGCACCGTCTGCAATCCGCACTGTCCTATAACAATTTATGGATTGGCCCTACGTTGGATGTGCTTCAAAAAATTAAGGCAATATGTGTAGGCGCTGAAAGGTCAGAGGCAGTCTATTGTGTTGTTTGTCATAGAAATGCTAGAAGTGACAATAAAGATATAACTGAACTCTACCTTCTCTTCCGAGACACCTGCCAATAACTGCTCATACTAATTATAGGTAAATGAGCCACTTCTTACCACCATTTCCACACCACGTAAGCCGCGGCAAGAATTCCAGTTATAATTCAGTTACATTCACTCGCATTGCAAGCACAAATAAACTTGCTAAACACCAAACAGATATTTACGAGAAAAAGACCACAAAAAACCAAATTAACTGCAATTGAAATATTTCTTGTTTTTGCTTTTCTGTTTTTTGCGAACTTTATTGCTTTCGCAGCTCTTCCTGCCGCCTGCTGTTGTTACTGCTTGTAAATATTTATGCACGCCAGTCATTATTCCGCGAATGAATTTTTATTGCCAAGTGGCAAGCAAGCGAGCAAAAACCGTCAGCAGCAGGAGCCGTAGAGATGAAGCGGCCTCAGAACTGTTTGTTGGTTGTTCTGCTGCGTGTTGTTTGCTTAACGGATTCCAGCATAATTTTGCATTGCTTAGCGTAAATTAGAGGTAATGAGATGAGTTGAGATGGAATGCTGCTGCCGAGCCGAGCTCTGACGCCACGGTCACACAGCGCGATTCCCTGGAAGACTTTCGCGGTTTCGTAGTTTAAGTCTTTTGTGTTTTCTCCTTTCTTTGTTAAATCATCTTACCGTGTGTGCACTTCTATTTACTATCTGCGAGATGATTTGTGGAAAAGAACATTGAGAATATGTTTAACATTTATGCCGAGCTTCCGCTTTTCATTAGCAACTCATTCGAAACACGCATTTCCATAACATTTTGACATTGCGCGCCAAGAAGCCGGGAAGATTGCATGCAGACACGCGAGTAGAGTTGCTCAAACGCTGAGTAGCTGTGTAGCCATCATGAGCTGATCACTCTGCGAGGTAAGCATGAGCGCGCTCTGCGACGTAATAGCGCATGGAGGCAGGGCACAGCCCTTGTCACGCGGACAACTCATGTCTTTTGGTTTAATTTCTTAATTACATTTGGGAGTTCTACAGAGTACGCTTGTCTCGTTCGCTTAACGGTTGTCTATAAAAACAACAGCGATATGAAGGAGGGTTTCGAGACATGGTTTACCACTCCTGCTATCCAAATCATCCGTTATCAGTGGGAGTAGGGACTTTGCGTGCACTCACGTCCTATGCGGTGAATTGGGTTGAGAGTGTTTCTTCTCCAGACACTCTGCTATTGCACCTTCTCATAATAGGTTGAATAGAGCAATAAAAGAGAAGATATCTTCTTTCATTTACAAAATATTAAAATCAATTCATATCTAACACACAGCAATTGTCCGTTAAAGTGAAACAGTAAAAAAAAAACCTAATCAAATTCCAACAACAATAGCAGCTGAATATTAAAATATAATTGCTGAATAGTGATTGTTCAACGAAACACCGTTAACTAAGAATAGCCAAATAGAAGCGCATAAAGCAAAAACAATAAAACGGAAATTAGAGACATAATTTCATTCTTCTTTTATGAAAGAACCATAAAAACAAACAACTTCATTGCGTTGCTAGAAAATCACTTTTGTATGTACACATTTATTATATGTATATATGTATACAGCCAAGCATTACACTTGCCGCAAGCCCAACGACTTAGTAATGAAATTCTAGAAAATGCTCGAAACTAAGTGGTAAATAGAAGAGATGATCTGCCACGCGGCACTGAGCTTAAATGGTGGCAACAGCAACCACAACAACAACAGCATAGCAACGAAATGACGCGGTGGCACGAACCAAGCAAAGCATGCAGCAATGCCAACGGTTTAGTCAAAGCTGTTTCTGGTGATTGGAAAGTGCCATGCAACCGAATTGCACTGAAGCTGTTGCCGCTGTCAACTGACAGAACGCGAGCAAGAAAAAGCAGAACAACAACCATACCGCATGCAAAGAACACTCTTCAAAACTGGTGCATGATTCTTCTCGATTTTCGACGCTACGCGAGGCAGCAAAAGCGGGAAAAATAAATATGTGCATGAAGCAGCGCGAACAGAGCTCAACAGAGTGGAGCAATAAAACTCAAATAAGCAAAATCAGAAATTGCAATTGGCTTCACTAATGAGTGAAAATTTGCACAAGAACGGTACTTGGTTGGTGAAACCGAATGAGGAGTGCGGAAAACATTCAATATATTAATAACATAACCATAAAATAAAATAAAAAAATGCATAAAATAAAATAAAATAAAATAAAATAAAATAAAATGAAATAAAATAAAATAAAATAAAATAAAATAAAATAAAATAAAATGAAATAAAATGAAATAAAATAAAAAAATAAAATAAAATAAAATAAAATAAAGTAAATAAAATTATTTAAAATTAAATTAAATTAATTAAGACACAAAAATTAATTTAATTTATACTTATATTTTACGTTTCTATATATGTATATTGTTATTGTATTGTACTAATAAGGATGGTTGTTGGTGAGTTGATTTAAGGGGCATGAGCTTAGCTACTAAGTTGCAGATTAATGTCTCAATAAATAGGTTTGGTTTATATGTAACATCCATAGATGCTAAGGTTCTTAGTGCTTAACAGTTTCAGCAGGTCTGTATCTTCTTTTGCGGCATATAACTACAATAGTTCCCTGGAACTGTTATCCACAGCACCCAACTGATGACCATTTTGCTCTGCTGCTGCTCTGTACATGATATTGCCCATTGCCGGCTCATCCGAAAAAAAGAAAATTGTACACTCGAAAATAAATAATAATTTTGTGAATTCGTCGTCTAACAATTATCATCATTTCTTTAACTGTTTTACTGAAAAAAGGCAAAAAAAAAACAAACTGTACGCTCGCTGCGTTCACTCACTTCACACCTTCAATCTTTTCAATTATTTATTACACTTTCTTTTCTTTGGCTCAATTTTTCGAAATTTCATTAATAGTTTTATTTTATTCTACTTGCAGACAATTGCCAAGAATATACACACAGATAAATAATGCGGAATTCGCTTTATATGGCATGCCAACAGTTCATGTAGACATATGTACTCGTATGTATCAAACTGGGTGTCAAACAAAGTGAAATTATTTCCTCTTCAAAGCATAAATCGTAATTAAAAAACAGCAGCCCAAGAGCAGCAGCTGAAGAGTCGAGCCGAAGCAGAGCGAGGCAAGCCACCCACATAAATAAACGGCACCTGCCAAGTAAGGTAAAGCAATACAGCAATTATACGCAGAACAATTACATCTACGGCAACAATAAGAACGGCAACGTCATTGCCAATTCAGCGGTTATTTATTGACTTCAATAAATCAGCACACGCGCTGCTCAGCGAGCCAAAAGAAAAGTGATTGCCACAAGAGGGGGAAAAATATAAAATAAATTTCACAACACACAAGCCATCAGCCACCGGCAAACTACTTTACAGCTATTCACGCATCGAACGCGCCTGCGTACACGCCATTCACGAGCGCCAACGCCAACACTTCGGCTTGTCGATCATAAATTCACCCGGTGACACAGATTCCGTGTATTTGTTTTGATCAGCTGCTTCGAGCGACGAGTGACGAGCGCAGGGAGGCAAGCGCTGAGCGGAGAAGCGAACCGCACCTTCACGAGCTAGCCAGCTTCAGCCGGCCGGCAATTGTTGCTGCTAATTTTTGTTTTCAATTTATTTCTCACTTCGCCCGTTTCAATCCGAAAATGTTGGCGCGTTTTATTGGCGCTGCGTTGCTGACGCTGTTCTGTCTCTGGCCCGCGCAGTTGGACGCTTTTGTTGCCCAGTCAATGGGTAAGTATTTTTAAACACAATTTAAAACAGCAAATCGTTATTGTGTGGTAATGAAGAAATTAACATTCCGAGTTCATTCTAAAGAGCAATTTACCTACAAAAAATCTATTTTCTATTTTACGGAATTCAATAAAATTCACCTGTGGATTTCGCAGTAAAATTTTTTTCTTTTAACACATTCTCTCTCACTTCTGCATGCTTCTCGTATCTCGATTATAACGGAAATTAAAGACTGATTGACATCAATAGCTTTTGAGGGCTTTTGCGTTATGCACAGAAAAAGGCGTGGCAAAGTTATGCAAAATAGCTGAAGACTTTACGTCGTCTTTGATGAGAAGATGTAAAGATTTGAAGATATGCGACAAGAATTTTTATTATGAAAATAAGAGAGCAGATATTCGTTAGGAATTCCGCGTAATATAAAACTAAAGTTATACATATTTACTAACACTCATTTAGCAAATCTACATATCTGCGAAGCGTTGAGGTGATCAGAAGAGGTTTATTGGTTAATTATTGGGAATTTTTGGCATAAAAGATAGCTCTTATATTCACCTGAAACTGTGTCGATCAATAATAGAGCAGAGTATATGAGTGAGTTAAGACGTGAATAATGCTTTTATGGCCTAAAACGATCTGCAAAGCCAGCATTCAATTTATTTTTAATCCAAGAAGTTCTAAAAGGATGTACCTGGTTTTCTTACCGGTGCGGAAATAGAGAACCTGAAGATGCTCGAAAGACTATCAGACATACATACACACTGTATTAATTCTAGTACAACCGACTCTCTGCAAGCTTCTGTGCATTAATTTCTCAATCAACGGAAGTTTGTCTAAGCGAGATAATAGGTCTGAGAGGGAGATTCCAAAAATATGTCCCAAAGCGCTTTTGTTCGTTCTCTGTCTCAATCAATACTTATGAACAGAATAATTGTAATATCCATTGTTTCAGCGACACGAAAATAATCAGCGGATACTAGAGGCAGTTTCGACGTGAAATCTCAAGCAAACTCATAATACAGTTAATCGATAATAAGAGGGGCCATATTTACCCAAATTTACAAAAGCGTAAACAAATATTACATCTGCTGGGGAGAGTCAAAATAAAATCTCGCTCGCGATTTGAGTGAATAGCCAGAGCAAAATTTAAATCGATCCCGTCTTGACTCATGACATGCCTTACAAGAACAAAACCGAGGAAAGTATTATTATGAAGAGTTTTTTCATAAACGTGTGACAATACTTTTTCGAAGTTGATCTCTTCGAGATCTGTTTATACTCAGTTTTCATTACAAAATAGCAAACTTGCGCCAGAACAACGTTTGGAATTCGTGCAAATTTATAACCAAAATAATGGTTTGGATCGCACGGGGTCTGCGATCTCAGCGTCTAATATTCGATCAACATAACCACCCAGCAGAGTTGGTAATTCGAGCAACCAGGGTTCAGTTTTCCATAAACTGAAGAAGAATACCCGATGAGTACATCCGCTATCGCGCGCACAAAGTCCAATCTAATTCGCACGTTCGATAAACGGAACCCAATTTTCAAAAAAAAAAAAATAATTTAGTATATCTATGAAGCTAACTTTTGTTGTAATGGGTATGTTAGTAAACGAAATTGTCAAGTGTTGACCCCGTTACGTCCTCAAAACGTCACTTTTTGGTGTTATGGTGTATGGGTAAAAAGAGTCATTGGTCAACATTTCTTCAATCGGGAAGGATATGGAGCTATGGTTCGTGAGCGCATTTTTTCCTATCATCAGAGAACTGTAGCGTGGCCTCCAATTACGGGCGATTTAACAACGCAGGACTATTTTTCATGTGATTATGTGAAGTTTGCCGGAATAGCCGAATGGTTTGCGGTAAGCCGGGGTTCGAGTCATGGCTCGACCGACATACAAAAATATAGAAAACTTATTTTTCTTATTGAGGTCACTACTCAGCAGCGTATTTTCGACATGAAATAAAAGCTCGCGCTGGTCACTTGAAAATCATTTTTGAAACATAATGACAAAACCTTTCTCTATGATAAAGTCAAATTCTTGGTGATTACATTAAATTGTATGGGTTTATTTCTTCTTGGAAATCACATGTCTGAAAGAGACATCCATCTGAGTAAATGGATTTACAGCCACAAAAAACGCACAAAACTGAAAATCGAACTCCTGAGAAAAAGAATTCATAAGAATATATTGAAATTTAGCATCCCACACATGCTCATAATTTCTCAAAAAACGAAAGTGTTCTTCAAAAAGAGAGTAAAAGTCACTTTCTCAAAAATTACCCAAAGAAAACGACATTCGAAAATGATCACCGTTATTGTTATTAGGGAAATTCCTAAACACACTCACTTTCTATGCCAACTTAAAGTAATTTATTAAACAATTTTGTTAGTAAAATCCTAATCTCATTGTCAAAAAACCAGTTTTATATGAATTTCAATCCACTTCCTCACATTAACACCGCAATCCACCAGCAAATCGACAGATTGCCCTTCATATTTCGAATAATGAGGCAAACAAAGGTGTATAACAAAGCCCAAATGAACTGTTAACATACATTTGCGAGCAAGTATTTTTGTATTACAAAAACAAATTTAATAGAATCAAATGCCACTAACCCTCTTGTGAGTACAATAAACAAAAACACAATTAAGGGGACAAAAACCATATAATTCAGAGCAGAGTTAAGAAAAATTAAACCAAATATTATAAAGAAGAAAGCAAAAAAAGAAAAACTAAAAAAAAGAATATTAATAATTTAAAAAAGTTTTGAAAAAAACGTAAATGTATATATATATATGTATGTACTTACTATTGTGTATCCACAGCGGACGCATCAGACCATTCCGCTGGGTGAAAGTTGGAACCAAATCGATTCTTTATACCAACTCACACTTATTACTGTATTTGAGAATCTACAAACAATGCTTACGCCACGGCGGCGGCAGCAGAACAATCACAAACAAAGTCATAATGAGTTGACGTTGAGCCAACAGCGCTGCTGGTCACTTAAAGCAGCCGTTCGAGAATGTGTTGGAAGGAAAATAGTTACAAGAGCTTACCACCTTTCAAAAGCAAACACACACACACAAACACACACACTCACACAAGCAAAGCGTTGCATTCTAGGGCGGTGAAGGGCAGCTGCATTGGTCAATAGCAGCAACCTCACTAGACGTCTTGCTTTCGACTGTAGCCGCACTTGATGCTCGTAAATATTGGAAAGAAGTGAGTGGTAAGTTGCCAGCTGCCAGCTGCCATAGACACGACGAAGCAGCAGTTTCACGAACAGCTGTGGGTGTTTTTGAGAAGGAGTTGGAAGTGCAAAGAAGAATGTGGAAAGTGGAAAGAGGAAAGCAGGTAGGGGAGCCGTGGCGTCTAATGCAGAATACAAACTATAATTATGATCTCAATTTATGTCTTTGGTGTTCATATTTCCAACACAATCAACAGACTTAAAGCCTTTTGTAATGTGACTTTATCGGACAACAACAATAGGAAGTTGTTGGCGGGAAAGTTTGGATCTGAATAAAACTGTTAAAGCGTATGTGTAAAGTAGGGAAGAATCGAAATTTAGTCACTCGGCTGTTGTTTATATTAAGTCCACAGATCGGTCAAAAATGCAAGGCATATCTTTGAACCTGTTTCAGCTTAATTGGCGAGTGGTTAGCATTGCGTAGTGCCATACGGCCATAGTTCGGCCAACATCCAAAATTATAGAAAACTAATTTTTCTTATCTCGGTAGCCCCTCTGCTTGGCTACCAGCAGTTATGGCTTCGTGGATTCGTCGCCTTATTCCATACGAACATAAAAATGTTCACACACACGCTTGAATGAAAAATATAAGATCTATAGATGCAGACGTTTTGGCATCCACCGTCGCTTAATAGCACCGCGATAGTTAGATTATGATGACCGAAATGTAAATTACCAAAACGCTTTGAGAGGAGACTCATAAGTTTGGACTTAGTAAGTTGGCCGCTGGAAGTTTGCGTCTTAAGTCTTTTTCTCTAATGGCCAATGTTGGATTGTTGGTAAGTACATACGTGTATGTATGTATTGCACAGTGTAGTAACCAACAAATTGCCATTTCACTATTACGTAGAATCATTAATGCGATGAGAAAGCAAAGCAATTTGCCCATTAACATTTCACACTTTATTTTCTTCTGGTAAACCAACAACAAAACGGAATTTCTCTTCACTCTTTCTCGTCTACAACCAACAATGTTGCTTACGTGCAACATTTGCCCATCACGTTCTTGCCGCACCTCCACCACCTGCCCCACCCGCGTTCCCACCGCCGCAGGTTATTTCTGAACAGAAACTGCGATTGTCAACGCTTTCCAACTGCTTTGCGTCGCAGCGTTAGCTTATAAACAGACAAAATTTTCATTGTCATTTCATGCCAAATTACTTCGTTTTCCACTGCATTTACGAGCACATGAACTTATATGTATTGGTATATATTTTGTCTTCATTGCTGATTTCTTCGCCGCCTTCAACATAAGATTTTCATTAGTCCGCGTGTTAAATTCATTTGTCAGCTGTGACCGGTGGGAACCTGCGAGGCCTGATGAAAAGCCACTCTGGACTTAATGATGGGTAGCGCTTGAAGCGTTGATATTTCTCAGCTCTATCGCTGCTTACTCATAATTTCTAGTTACTTTTGATTGCTATCACTATTATTATTTTTTTATTTTTCTCTTCCTTCTGTTCTTTTTTCGAAACTTCTTTCGCTTTTCTCATTTCAACGTGGATTAGCTGCAATTAGATTTGTTGCTGGCGTTGAAGAGATAAAACTGGGACACAAATTAATTCACATAATTATGGTTTGTAAATATGTATGTGTATATGTGTAAGCAATAGGAAATAATAAGTAGCTTCGCTTCAGAATTTCACTGAGCAATTTCGTTCCTACCCAAAGGCGACAGTTACAACATACAACAAATTGTAAATAATAGTCGTTTAACTTAAAATAATAATTACTAAGAGAGAAAAATGTTGGATGGGAAACTTGAAATAATTTTTTATAATTTTTTTTTTTTAAATATTTTTATTACAGCGCGCTGATGAGCTAAGTACATTTGATTAATAGTCAAACGCCACAGAATATGGGCCAAACTATGGGCTCTTTGGCTGATCTCTAGAATTAATCAGAAATTAAAAATAGCTAAGGGCTTAAGAATAAACTCTTTAAGGGTGTAGCTTAAAGCCTTAGTGAAAAGCGATGTCAAGTCCCTAGCAGATTAAAGTTTTAAGGAAAATTTTTTAATCAAGGAAATAAAAAAAGTAAAATTGGCGCCTTTCTTTTTGAATTTTTTCCCGCTATATTTCATATTTAAGCCATAGGACGATAAGTGCAGTAAGGTGGTCTGGACAGATATCAAACAAATAAATTTCAAAAATATTGGCGACAACAATAAACTTTTGTATTCTTACTACTACAGTGTGTGAATATGCCTGTGACTAATCTAAATAAAGAAAGTGTTGCAAGGCTTATATATATATATATATATTTATATATATAATTGGCGCTTTGTAACCGCTGAAGTGATTTTCCGCCGAGCTCCTCCATGTCAGAAATACACACGGAGGGGTTGACACTCCCTGCCGAGGGGCGATTGCAGTTGGAAAATTTAGCTTAATTTTTTATTTAATCGCCATCTCACAAAAAATTAAGTAATTTTTGATCAACTATGAGTTTCACGAATTTTCTTATCAACTAGAACGCGATTTTGGCAATTTTAGAAATTCATGACTTGAATTCGAGTCCTACTTCCACTGGAAGTTGTCAGGACTTTTAAAAACTATAACTAAAAAGCTTTCCTTAAATTTGAACGCAAGTCGGAGTTTACATAAAAAAATGTTCCAGTCTAAAGACAGCGATTCTTCAAAACTCGACAGGTTTTAGGGGTCTTTAACATTCCGAAAAGAGAGCAATCAGGCAAAGCATTAAAAAAAAATTAAAATTTGGGTGAAATTTATCAGCAGCTTAGACAAAATATTTTTTTTAAACCTGGATCTTCTTAAAAGAATACCCCACGTTGGAGGCCTTGAATTAAGTAGAAGCTGAGATTTAATTTATTGAAATATAAAAATATGAAAAATACAAAATAATCGAAAATGCCAATTTTCAATTAATTTTTAAATAATTATTTCCAGTGAACAGCGGACATGAACGAAATCTTTCAATTTTATTTTTTATCATTGGAATTTCGTCGTGAAAACCATGCACGAGTGTAAATATTTCTTCAAAATATTTGTTGTAACCCATTGAAATATTTTTCCCTTTTGTTCTTGTTGTGTGAGTAATAAGAAAACTCTACGAGCTTCTTGATGAATTTTAAAAGTCACTAAATAACGGTACAAAATAGTGCTTGTCATTGATCATGCCAGAATTTTTGCTTTCTTTTAAGCATTTCTTTCAACTTGTACTAAATGACTTTTATTGACCCTAAATGGCGATTAATAGTTATTGAGCCCATTTCCCCATTCGGAATCTTCAAAGTCAGACCGTCTTTTACCATAACAATTTTTTTTTTGTTTTAAGAACAAAAGCCTTCTTTAAAATAAGCATGAAAAGCCAACTTAAAGCCAAGGAAATAAGCTGGCAATAATTCTTAAAAGCTTTGTTTCCGATTTCACTCAAAGCAAATGATCGATGATAGTTTTGTAAAAGGTTAAGTTAAAGCTAAAAGCTCGCAGAATTTAAGTGCCAATGCGCGGTTTTCAGAGGCCACCGGTGTCTCTCATTCCATATTTGTTAATACATACATACATAAAAGCGAAATCGATAAAAAATTCAACTCTTAGAGCTTTTCAAAAATTGGAACAACAAACCAAAAGCTTTCTGTAGTTGTTTTTACGTCCAAGCTATATAATAATTTTTGATACAAGAATTAAGTAAACTACGAGGCCTGGTTGTTTGTATGAATTTAATATTTTGTTATACAGCAAAGAAAAATGGCAGAAGTAGCAGCTGTTTCTTGGATCACCACATCTCCTCATCCGACTCCTTATTGTCCTTATTGCAGGGATCGAACCAACGGATTCTGGCTTAATGTCAACAAAACTGAAACACGGTAAAGCTGGTATAGTTCCCGAGCTCATGCTTGTCGCTCGGAGATAAATAGTAAATATACGAATACCCCCTACTCAAATTTGCGGGCAAAATCTTATGCCCTACTAGAAAATAACTTTCCAAAAGACACTTATATTTTGAGTGAACAGCTCTGTGAACATAAGGGTGGGCCGCATCTTATGATAAGAATTAAAAAAAAGTAATTCCTACTTCCAAATAAAGGGTGTAGTTTTTAGATATTTGTGTTTCAAGAAGGAATAAAATCCTTACCATTTAAGTCGTGTGGCAAATAATTTTGCTTTATTATAAAGATAAGGGTTTACCTTTATGTTCTAAAAATGATCGATTAAATTCCAGCTGAGAGGCCCAGTTCTCGACCACTTTTACAGCAATTAGGACTGTATGTTAGTAACAGTGCGCCGAATATTCTGTTCCAATCGTCAGTCGTAAACAAGTATGAAGTCACTAGCCCCACAAAAAATAGTCCAGCGGTGTTAAATGGCATGGTCTTGGAGTCCACGACACAGGCCCACAACGGGAGATAATGCACTCGCTAAACGTTTTCTTCAATAAATGGATTATTTCATTGGCTGTGTATATGGAATGTAGCACCAACTTACTTGAACCAAAGGTGTCGTTATCAACATTTCATTAGTCTTGGCCCTATAGCTTTCCTCATTGACTGTAACTCATGGCCGTTTTCATTTATGAAGAGATATGGACAATTGCTTGAAAATTATAATCTTTTTCAATGGAGCAATTTTGCATATCCAAGTACTCATTCAACCAAAAGTGAGCTTCATCGCCGAACAAAATTTTCTTATGAAGATTGGGATCAGTGTCCATCGCGTTTTGGTCCCATTCACAGAACTTGAGATCCGTCCTCAAAATCTTCCATAAAGTGAATGGACGCAGCTCCAATTTCTACGCGCGATGGCGGAAGGACATATTTGGTTATTTTCCGATACTTTTTCCACAGCAGCATGAGCGGGTCTCTGAGGGTGCTCATTATCCACCAGAGTAAACGTGATTCGAAATGGGGCGACTTACTCATGAGCTAGCAACTGTTAAGAAATGATCTGACTTTGGGCCGAGTTTCTCTTTGGATGTGTGGTCTGGAAACCACCTGATAAATTTTTATTTGAAAACGAAAACAATCGGATAGATTGCCATATCTGGGATTTGCAGTTAAAATCTTTCGTGTGGCGGCAAAAACTCCACTTCGCACTTACCAACAGCGGTCACCAACTTTCTTAGCCACAGAAATTAAAAACTAACGTGAAGTGTAGTACCACAATAATTCTATGTTGTCATGAGAAACTTTTGGTGCACCCTAATGCTTTACCACAAGCTTTCGCATATACTCAACATCCGAAAGCTATTTACACTTGGAAGTTACAAAGTTTTATTATTATGTTCCGCGCGCGATAACATCTCGTTCACGTGTTTACCCATTAAACAAATTATAACAGTGGCATGCATAACAACAACAAGAACAACAGCAGCAGAAGATCAACGAAGAAAGCAATAATCGCTTGCTACCAAAACCACAATTAAATGAAAACACAGCCGATAATTAAACTACCGACACACACTCGCACATTAGTATTTCAAACATAATGAGACAACAACAAAACAACAACAACAATAACAGTGGTCTTCCTATAAGTATAAACTTGAACAATTATGCCATTGTCGTACACAAATGTCTTGCGCTTATCTTATGAGCAGCTCACACCGCATACCTCACACCTCACACCACACACCACACCTCAGCCCTCCTTGGTTCTTCGCGCCTCATCCAGTTGGTCATGTAAACAAACCGTTTATGCTCGCACGATAACTACCGCCTAACTTGGAGCGAGTATGTGTCGCCAACTCTTGCCCTCCGCGGACTCGACTGTCGCTGCTTCGGTCACGGCATTGCCTGAGTTCAGCTCGTGTTGGCTGTCCATTTTGAGGCGTTAACTTGCATTTTCATTGTCACTTTTTAATTTGCCATTCACACGCGCGCGCACATACAAACACTTACACACAAACTCATATGTGGCATGTGCTAGCTTCCCAAACAATCGGGCATGCCAACCGGTCTGCAAATCCCGTTCTCAATTTTTGTTTTTATTCCATTAACTTTTTTCCTTTTATTTTTGTCTCCTTCCTTTCCTCCTCTGCTGCAGGCTGTCACCACAATGGCACTTGGTATGCCGACAGATCACTCGTGCCCACCATGGAGAAGTGTCTCACATGCCAATGCCAGAAGAAGACACTTGTCTGCCGTCTGAAGGTTTGCCCCGAAATGCCGATGCCACCGCCCCGAGGCTGCATTGTGGTGCAGCAGCGAAACTCGTGCTGTCCGTATCTGTCGTGCGCGCGTCTCGATGCCTACTACAAGATACCGGCAACGCGTCGCATTATCGCTTACTTGGATCACTATGAACGGGAGTCAATTGATCGCGTCGTAAATGATAACATGCTGCAGCGGCGCTCCGATGACTCGGAGGTGGATATGTATGGTGAGTAAATGGTAATGAGACTGCAGTGTGGCGTCTCTGTTGGGCGAAAAGAAACTATGTGGCAAGTGTAAAGCTTGCAAGGTTTGTTTCATTTTTCCGATATTTCTACAGTGAGCTCCACTGTTTCAATTCTTTTAACAACAGTTGGGACGTAACTCAATCTCAGTTCAAACCTTTCTCTTCCATTTTCCTTCGCAGTTTGCGTTAAGAACGGCACGGTGTACAAATCCGGTTCGGCAATGTCATCATCAAATCTCTGCACTTACTGTTACTGCATTGGTAAGTGATGTGTTTTGTATCCCTTAAATGGCATGTAGCGATATCTTTACCCCATATATTCTTTTTGTTTTTTTCTTCTCCTCTCTCCTCGTTCGCTTTAGGTGGCACCGAGAAATGCGTTAAACCGAAATGCATGTTGCCCGTGGAAGGCTGCAAGCCCATCTTTGTCGACTCCACCTGCTGTCCCGTGCGATACGATTGTACCAGCAAGCCGTCAGGCAAGTCGTCACAAGAGGTGCGCTACCGCAAGACCTCCAACAAGCATTACTTACGTATGTCACAGCGTCTGCAGCGCAATCGCGGCTGCACTGTGGACAAGCAATTCTATGTGGAGGGGCAGAAAATGCGCTCTGATGCCGATAAACCATGTGACATTTGCTTCTGTATTCGTGGCGTGCGGCGTTGTGCGCCTAAGAAATGTTCGCCTGCGCTGAAAAATTGCATACCGGTGGTCCCGAAGGGCCAATGCTGTCCATCCAGCTACGATTGCGGTAGTCAACGGGCGCAGAGCTCGCGTCAATTCAATTTATTCTCATTGCTGTTCGGCAAGGAGGATGAGGTTAATGGCACCAATGACACCAATAAAATACCAGCGGAGTACCCGCCAGACAGGCATCCGTCGGTGACAGTGACGCACAACCAGAACATATTGGAGAAGAACAATGAGAAGAGCATTTTGGACACCATACGGGAAGGCTTGGAGATTATCGATGGAAATAATGAAGAAGTCATTGCACAAAACATTGACAAATTGGCGGCACCTTTAACGAGGGTCGTCACGGAAGCACAGATAAGCTCACAGGCCACGGAGGCAGATAATGTTGGCACTGAAGTGAGTTTCTTAGATTTGCTTTTGGGTTCAGATGAAGAAGAAGATCCTACGAAGGTAACGTCAGAGGTGGCGCCTGAGTTGAAGACTACAACGGGTTATGAGGGACTGTCTTGGGTGGATATATTACTCGGGCCCGAGGAGCATAACCAGAAGACTGACAGCACACCTAAGGGTGAGAGAATAGGAACTGCAGAGACAACGTTAAGGTATCAATATGAGCCTAGCCTAGCGAGTATTGACCGCATCGATCAAGATTTTGCGGACTTTTCCGGAAATGGAGAGATTATAGTGGGTGATCCGCAATCCAGTGAGTCTCTCGAACGTCCAATTGGGAAGTATACCGAACAAGAAAATAACGGTATTGGCAACGAGTCATTTAAGGTACTTCACAACGTAAAGCAGATCAACAACGTGGTACTTGGTCACTTAAAAGAAGAGGAGGAAGCTGTAGATGCAGTGGAAAGTGCTACAACTGCTGCAATAACCAAAACAACAACAACAACAACATCTACAACTACAAAAACGCCAGAGCCTGTTGAGCCTAATAAACCGACGATCACGACGAAAACCACCCAGAGACCAAATTCGAAAGCCCCGATCAGCACAAGTTCGAAACCACTGCCGACTCCTGCTTCTACACAAAAACCCACTCATAAACCAATAGAATTGAAGTTCAAACCAAAATCTACACAGAAACCCAGCGAGACAGTGATGAAAACGACCACCACCCGCCCCCAGAACGAAACACAGACCACAATGCAGACTATTCAAGAAAAGAAGAAGAATGGCTTGCTGACGGTTCTTCTCGATGGACTCTCCGACATGCTCAGCCCTGAAAATCTCTATAACAATAACCAAACTCAAATCTCCTCGAAAATGAATTCTACCACGACCACAACTACAACGCAAAGTCTCAAGGATCCACTTATATTGCCCACACCGAAACCAAAACCTCTGCCCTCATTCAAGCCTCTCCCCACGGGCAAACCACTGCACATGCGCATTAATTCAAAGATTGCAAACCTCACGACCACGCCTGAGCTGATAAAACCGAGTGCTGCACCAAATGTAGCTGTTTTCAAACCACTGCCAGTAGAGATGGTTAAATTACCGATTGCGGTGACCACCACAATAACGGATCCAGGCTCGACCACCAAAGTACCGCAGCCCAGCTCTACTTCTTCTACGACGACGGCTCCTAGAACCACCACCACGCCACAACCCAAGCCAACAACCAGCAGCACCACAACATCGTCGACGACAACGACAACAACACAGAGCACTAGCACCTCTGCCGCTCCCAGGCACCCCAGCACGACCCTAAAACCGGTGGTGATCAACACCAACCCCACTATCTTAGAATCGGAACCTATTGACGCGAACGCCGAACCAACTTTGCCTCCAAGTCTACCCAACCTAAAGATCATACCCTTCTTACCCACCGATGCCGTTAAGGCAGATCGTAACAAGCCTCTCTACGACTTTTATCACAGCAATGCGCCGACAGCGAAAATCGATTACGACCAATATGATGAGGGTAATATATATCCAGCCATCACCGAGCCTCATTTTCCTATTTATCCAGACCTAGAGGATGGTAGCAAAGCCGAGTATATCTACAAGTTTAATGTAGAGGGACCATCGCCACCGGTCACATCGTCGACAGCAGGTAAGTTGGAAGGTGTGAATGGCGTGGCTGAAGCTTTTGTGAAATACGATTTTGCCGACTCGGAGGTGGAGCATAAAGGCTTCTCACCACCAACAAAAACAGAGGGAGGTTTCGTGCCCAAAGATCCACTCGTGCTGGGTGATGATGGCCGGCAAGTGGACCCACTGTCATCCTATCCCGATACCGTTTATCAAGTAACGAAGCACATAATCGATATAACGACTGGCGGTCCACTAAAGGAGAACACAACGAAAGTTATTGGTAGGTAACTGAGGTTTAACCAAATCCAGAACTTCCCTGTGTGGAGCTTGTTTCATATAAATTTTGTTGACTGCTTTACAGAAATCACAACTCCGGATCCGTTTAAGGATGTCATCCGAACTGAGCCACCACCAGACTTGACGTTTCTAATTGGGGATAAGGAGATCACTTTAATGCAAAAGCATGCGCAGCTCCAACCACCGCAAGCCTTTGAAGATCCAGAGCAACTCAGTCAATCAGTGATACACATAACCACAGCAGCGCCACAATCCTTTAGCCCGATCGATGACCAACACCCACCTCAAGCTCCAATCATCGATGCACACTCAGAGCAAAACACATCCGCTCTACCCTCTGACGGAAAGAAGGACACAATAGCTACGTTCTTGGATTTACTTTTGGGTGGTGGTGAGCCTGATTCGCTTCGAACCCTACCAACTGCAAACTTTACGGTGGATAGTAGTACTGTCCCACCATTTAAAACATTACCGAAAACACCCGTCAAACTATTACCAAACAGCACGGCTACAACTACAACAATGGTGAAGCCCAAAAGAGTAACCACAAAAGCATCGAGAGCAACAGCCAAACCCACAGCGAGCAAAAACTACACTACTTCTGTGTCCGCCATGCCCACACGAGTGATTACAACCGCGACTGCTGCCAGCAACGCCACCAAGAGCAAGCCGAAACCCAAAACGCCTACGTCCCATAAAGCAGCTGATGTGTCCCCAACCGTTGGAACGAAAGCTTTAGCGTCAACACGTCCGAAGAGTACGCGACCAAAATCGAGTTCGGCACGCCGTCAGACAACGAGAACACCCACAGCTGCAGCGGGTAACCAAAGGCGTGACAATAGCACAACGAATGTGAGCAGCACCACCAGCACGCCGGCCACACCAACATCAACAACCACACAACGTTCTGCGCCCACTACAAAACCTCTGCTGCGCTCACCATTCGACACGCTGCCCTTCATGGACACCAGCTTTGAGGTGAAGCGCACAACGCAGCACCCATTTGTTGTTGGCCAACAAACAAGCGAAGACTTCTTGGATCTGCTACAATACAAAAACTCATTAAATGAGTTTGAGGGATTGGAGCCGGCACGGAGAAGTAATGTACACAGTTTACCACACGCAGACAGAAATAAAGCCGATACGTCGACGACTACGACGACGACAACGACAACCAGCGCACCACCTCTGGTTCAAAGAAATATAGAAAAACTCATTTCCACAGCGTCGTCGCCAGCACCAGTTCTTGATGCGCACGCAGCGACTTCGCCGCTGGAAGTTCAACGCAACACTGCTTCGAACAGTCTAATTGACCCGACGGGTGTGCTGAAGTTGGCCGGCTGCAATATATACGGACGCATGTATCGGGTGGGACGCATCATACTGGAGCTCTCGAGCCCGTGTTTGGAGTGCAAATGTACAGAGGTGGGCGTGAAGTGTGGCCAATTGGCATGTTAATGTGGCCCAGCACAGGATGGCTCTTGTAGCTGGCTTTTTTAAGATTGATTAGTTGTAGTTTGTGCAGTGAGTATATTCTTTGCGGTAGTAGTGTCTTTGACTATCTGTCAAGTGGCGCTATATTCTTTAGCTTTAGTAAGACGAAGATCCAGAAACGAAAATAGGAGGTAAGAAGAGGTGCAGTATTTACAATAGTTTCGCATTGCGCTTTGGCGCGGGAGGAGATGCGGAATTGGTAAACGTTTTTAGTATTGCATTTGGAATAAATTAATTGTTTAAGTTGTATATTAAATAAAGTGGAAATATTTATAATTTTAGTTACGTAAGCTTAGTTGTAAGTGCGCATAATTAAGTTTCGAAATAACTATGAGATGTAACCGATCATTAATAAATATCAGCGAAAAATACATAATTTCTCCTCAAATTATTTGAGTGCCTCTTCAAACTGGCCTGACCCAGCAATTAAATTGCGTTCTCACAGATTTCTTCTGCGAACACCACTCCTAATTACGAGCGCTGAGCCCGTCCTTTAAGATTTCAAGCTTATGTAAAGTGGAAACCTAACCAAAAGGGATGAACTGATCGACTCAGCTGAGACCTGAGACCGGCGATGTTGTTGTTCTTGTTGTAGCTGTTCGCTGACCTCGCTTAGGTACAGGTGTGATCAGTCTAAGTCGTCGAGGTCTTCTTGTGGGAAGTCCAGAAAACAAGCTGTTTCAACGGGGTTGGACCGGAGAGAGTGGAGGGGTTAGATGAATTGGTTTGAGAGGGCATGTGAAGAGGTTGTTAGTGTCGTGCAGAGACTCTCCACATGCAGGGCGTACGTTGGGTATGCTGAAGTCTAGTCTGGATAAGTTGGAGTTTAACCTGCTACAATATCCAGACCTAAGTTGTGTCAGGGTCACGCGGGGCTCTCGAGGCAGCTCGAGCTCGTTGTCTGCTATGGGTGGTGGTATTTCTCCGAGTACGCCATTCACTGGAAGGGAGTCCTTAAAGGTGTTGACTGACCTCTAGTGAATGGCGTTCAGTGCTAGTCTGTACGCCGTCCTGTTCAGCGGTTGTTGTACATATTGCTGGATTGTGTCCTTTAAGTCTAGTACTCCCTTTCTGATGTGCCTAGATGGTGGTTCAGCTTCTATTAGATGCCTACTGGGGCACTGCTTGCACAGCAAAGCATTTTGCTCCTTAACTCGCAGCATAGATGCTCCGCTGTGCAAGTGATGCTCCGGCGACATCAGGAGGTTTCCTGTCGCAGTCCTGAGGGCAGCCGGTTCTACGCACTGGAGTTCACCCGGATTTTATTCGGCCAAGGCTGTCGCCCTTTCGGTGAACTAACCCCGTTTAGGTCAACAGGTAACATTAGTCGCTCGGCCATGTCGCTACTGACGGTTGAGCCGAAGGACCGAAGCTGTCACAGTTTATTAAAGTTGTATTGCTTTTCTTTTTAAATAACGAAGCACAAAGTTTTCTGAATTAAATATTCTATAATTATGTAATTTTTATTTAGAGCCTAGAGAATATACATACATTTGAACACAGCCGTTTGGGAGAATCGCAATATTTGTTTACAATGTACCTTAAACCTATTTATTGTAAATATGGAAAGGGAGCGGGATGGGGTGGGTATACACGGTGAATTGGAAATGTGAGTATGGAATATACACACACACATATATATTATATATTTATTTCTTTTATTGATTTAGATGCTAAAACGCTAACTGAGTGTTTTTAATTCAGCTGATAAGGCAGATAAAAGAGAGTTCTGCAGAAATTGTTTTCCTACCGTAAGGCTCCCATTTATCTTCTTTATCACGCATTCGACGAACAACACTCGGGGCGCCATCGGGAATAGCATTTGCATCGATAAAAGAGCAAAAAGCCGAGGCAGAGTCCGGTCGTGCCGCCAGCAATGTGAGCCTGCACGCATATACGGGGGTTAACGTTATGGTTGACCGCATAGTGGAATAGGGTGAGACCAAAATCCGATGTCAATAGAATCACCAAAGCGACAATGCGCAGATAACGGATTGATAATTGACGGAAATTCTGTTGAATAAAAGAAAATTAAATAACAAGAAATGTTGCCGGGGAAATCACTCATTCAACTCACCAACACCAAGTGCGGCACGTTGCTCGTGAGTAGCGCATAAACACACGCCGAGGCACCCAACAACGACAGCTCGGGCTGTGTGTATGCCGTGACCAATGAACCGGCTACACCGCCGGCGGCATAAATCAAGGCCACCTGCCAGCGCGGCTGCTCGCTCTCCAGACAGACGCCGATAAAGCACTACAGTAAACAGAGAATAAACAGAAAACACAAGAAAGGGAAGTGAGAGAAAGGCAGAGCGTGCGGCATGAGCCGCTAAGGCCTTTGGTTAAAACAACAGAGATTTTTGCAGTTTGTTTATGTTATATATATTTTCCTATAAATTTCCATTGCCGTGACTGAGGCTGAGGCTGCTTAATTTGCGAGTGCTAATGAACTCAGGTATTTGTATTATTTATGGAAATACTCGCCTGGAGAGAGACATTCGACAGCAGGTGCATGAGATCAGAATGCAACAACGTGTAGGTGATGTAGCGCCAGCATTCGTAGGGTTGACCAGGGATGAGCATCAGACGCTGATTCATGCACTCATTGGCAATGAAGTACACGAAAACCTGCAAGGGAAGATTATAGCTCAGAATTTAATAAAAGTTTATATAAAAAATTAAAGTTGCTTCCAGTAGAGACTAAACCCTAAGATCGATCACTGGATCACACTGCGTTAAACGGAGCGACTAATAGAATTCAAAGATCAGCGACGACCAGCATAAGTGGTGCGCTCAAGACCACTTTGATGCAGTGAACTTCAGGACGAAATATAAAGAATTATGAAGGAAGCAAACTACATTGGAACTGAACTCAAGAACAAGAATTTCAGGCAGCGATTATATTTCAAAATTTTCCCTTGAAACCCACTTGTCTAAAAAAACACTTTTTATTCTTAATGCGTGAGGAGGATCTTAGCTTAAGATCACTTTGGTACTTTGGTAAATAGGGTACACACATAGGTATGTATATGCAATTCAAAATTCAAAACTTTTAACAATTTCAAAATATCTTATTGAATGAAAACATTTTTTTGAACACATTGGAAACTTATGGAAAGCAAATTTGTTTTCAATGAAAACCAATAATAGTAAAAAATATTTTAATAAGAACTAGGTGAGTTATGTATGTATGTGTAAAGTGAAATCATTTTCAAATATATTAATAAGAATAAGTTCTCTTCTTTTAATGTCCACACCAAATCAAGTACTTCAAAAACACTTTCGGACTTGTTTATTCCTAGTTTCGAAATCCATTATTATGATTTCCAATATTACAACAGCGCAATAAGTTTAGCCACAGATCTTGGTTTTGCACACAGAAATATTATTTGAAAATCGATGCCACCGCAAAAACCGTAATGAACGAAATTTCTCAATGAATTCTGTGAAAATTACATGCGAAAATTTCAATCGCACTTTGGCCACATACGAGCACAGAGCGGGTTGCACGAACCACTTTGCGGCGGTTGAAGTTATCTTAGGGCTTCAAGATTGATTGCTTGGAGTATCTAGAGAGGCGATATATGTACGAATATGGTGGGAAACAAAAACACTTGAGACTTGAGACTATAAGTGTGAAAGATCAAATATAAAATATTACTTTTTTATAAAATTTATTTTTTATTTAAAAAAAAATGAAAAAATTAAATGAAACAAAGTTTATTTCATTTCATTGTTTCATATTTCTCATTCACAATGCGGAAAGTGAAAATATGTTGATCTTTAGTACACATACATACATGCTTCTCCATATTTGCAAATATTAATATGCACAAACGCACAAACGCACAAATGCACCACTTGCGGTGAATCGCCTCCACACAATCAAATCAAAAGTATATCAGCGCAACCACTTGAAAAATGCGAATTTTACTTTGTGGTTTTTGTTTGAAAATGTTTTGTCTGCTAATTGCGTCATAAATAAGGCAAGCTAATTAATTGTTGTTGCTTTGTTGTTATATTTTTCACTTTAAATGTAAATATAATGGAAAGGGGAAATATATTTAGAATTAGGAACAAGTGCACTGCGTAAACTCCAGAAAGATCAGAGAAGGAGATATAAATCAAAACAAAAATATTTCGATAAAAATGTAAGCTATTTCAACACTAGTCTAGGATTAGTACTGTGCTCAATCCAGTTCAGAGATATTTCTTATCACTTGCAGCTTATCTCACAAATTTTCTAATTTCAAAACACAATTCTCTGCACTTCGCACCTGCACGAAAGAGATTATGATGAGAAACCATGGTAAGCGCCAACGTCCCAACGGTGGGTCAGCAATGAGGGTGTTCGCCAACTCCGCCTGACCATTAGCCAAGAGCAGAAGCTTCGATCCCTCCGCGGAGCAACAGGGACTAGATCCTCTTGCAATTTCTCCATTACCACCAGACAAGTCTCTTTTATCGTCACATTTGTCGCATGCAACATTTGAACCCTCTAATCGAAACTTGTTCGCTGTCATTTTTTGGGCGCTGTGAGTGCAAGTTCATAAAGAGGTATGACTAATTCCATCGAAGGGTTCAGATTTTCAGCACGGCTGATAACGTTTACAATATTATACCTTCAGCTTGATAATGACTAGTGGCACTGGTATTTGCTTAACTCAGCTGATTTCACTGATTGGTATTAAATTTGTTTTTACTGCTTAGCCACCGAGCGCACGCACTTAACGCCGCCACACGACTGAGCAATGCCGTTTATTATCAATCATCAAGAGCTATAACAACGTATGAATGTACACAAATATGTGTAAGTAAATTCACACGCGTTCATATGTGGATGTGTTTGTAAATGCATCTGCAGAAGGCGTTTTTATGACAACCCGTACTGGAATAGAATCTTTGGCGATTTCGTGAAAAAAATATAAAGAAAACTTTATATATAATATATATATATGTATGCAAGGGTGATCCACTTCGAGGTTCCCTACTTTTTTGAAGAAAAAACCACGCAAATAAAAATTTAATGCGGAATGTTTATTTTTTTTCGAAAGAACATTTTTTGTGAATTTATTTTTTGACAAGTATTTATTGCAAATGTTGGCCGCGCCTTCATCTCAGATAGTCCCACCGTGGAGTCCAATTTTCGATGCATTGTTCGAGCGTTTCAACTGGTAACTGGCGAATAACAAGCGTGAAGTCCTGCTTTAAGGACTGAATCGAAGCCGGATTGTCCGCATAGACTTTAGACTCTACATATCTTCACTGGAAAAATCAAACGCTGTGATGTCAAACGATCTTGGTGACGATTTGATCGTCTTATCTGCACAGCGAAGTGTTCTCTCAATATATCCATTGACTGATGGGATATGTTTGAAATGGCGCCGTTTTGTTGAAACGAGATTCAATCCCAGGCATCAAACAGTCGGTTATCATGTCGTGATAACGGTTCCGTAAAAGCATATGGGCACATCTACAATTATTGGCGCAATGGCGGATGGATTCATTTGGGCCTTCTTTGATTCTACACCGTGCGGGGCAGGTCAAATCCTAGTGTACATTTTTGCAAGAGAAATGAAAAGAGTGTGCTTAAAGCTATCGGTACGAAATTAGGCCGTGAATCGGAATAAGATTGTTGTCGAAGAAAAACGTCGGTCTCTGAAAACTGACAGAAAGGTTGTAAGAGCCCTGAGAGAGGTATACGGACTTCCATGATCATTCTATGCTTATGTAATTGTTTAGTAAGTTGGCAAGTGTGATTTTTTTTTGTTTATTTTTTATTTGAATCTAAAATTTCCAATTAATTTTTTAATTCATCACCTTTTTTAAGATCAATTTAAGAAATTTTTACACACGTACGCACACATGTAACATGTACATGATAATAAATATAACTGCTCGCCTGTGTACTTAATGATTGGCAAAGCTGATGTAATTCAATGCATACTTTCAGGCATGATTGTCACAGTGTTTCCGTTTTATGATCATTTCCGACGATTGTGGCTCATGAACGTGCTATCGTCGTATACACAGTCAGAGAAAACGTAGCAGAAACATAGGCGCCGCGTGCACTCTGATGACTGTTGAGTCAGTGACTAATGCACTGAGGCCTTTAGGCCCATGTTATGCCACTGCGTATTTCTAACACCTTCTCCTTCTCAAATGGCCGAACCACTTGGCTCACTAGTGTGGCTCAGTTTTGAAAGTTCGACAATGCCTGAGGTATCGCGCAATAGACTATTTGTCTTCTTCGTCGCTACGACTGCGACCGAAGGCAATACAGTGAGATCCCATTAACCAGTGACCTATTATTACACCTGCCGTAATATTGACATAGAACCGGCCTAAAGGATAAGATGCCTTGTTCTTTTCGCATACAATTTTGGCTATATGGGTCACGTTGCACGAGATCTCTTTAAGGCATCTGATGTTTGCTTTTACGGCGAAAGCCAGTTCCCGCGTGGGTCGCTGGTTCGTCTGCCTTGCAATTACCTGCGATTTTCTTGTGTCCGGTCACCCAGAACACGACTTTGTTACATTTATTCGAGAGTTTGTTGTACATTTTATAGACACTTTGATGTGGTGTTGTTGTACTGTAGATATCTAATGGCAGCGTTGTTATCAGAATATTTCGGGCTTAATTGTCCTGCTACCGTAGAAAGAAAGCTATGGATCCAGGACATTTATGTTTTCACATTCGCTTCTGCTTGGAATTCTTCTGGAAAAGAGACTGTGTTGTTATTGTTGTAACCACAAAAATAGTGCCCAAAGTAGTTTTTGGAATGTTGCGGGAGTAACAATCCTTTCCCGGTTAAAAAATGCGGGTCGTTCCTGAATAAAGACCCAATTGTAGCGGGAAATATTGGATTTTAGTCGCCTCTTACGACAAGCAGAACTTATCGCGGGAAAATTCTCCAGCCCCTAACCCGCAGTGGTAGGTAGAGGGATTGAAGTATTTACTGGAGGTCTTTTTATCCGTCTCCTTGGTCACCTCTTCAAGAGATAGTGTCCTATACCATAATTACCGTTAATTACTTACTATGTGTGTGGCACCCAACTCAAAAGAAAGTGAACTCCTTCGCTTTCAGTTGAGAGCAAAGATAACTGCACATTGCGCGCAACTTTGTTTACGAAGCGAAAAAGAAATTGAAATCAAAAAAATCGAAAATTCAAAAGAGAGGAGTAAACAACCACTGAATTCGCGACGTTCAGACAATGCATCGCGAAGAATGGAAAGTGAATTTGCTCGGCTGCAAGGCTTATACATCATGTTGACAGCAAGTGCAACCCTCACCGCCAGAAGCACCAAAAGCTCTATCTCCAGCTGCGCCAGGCAACTTCGATCCGTTCTGCATTCACGCTTCAGCTACAAAACTCGTTGGTGTTATTACTCGAACTGTTATTTTGGGAAAATTCCACGCGTGCGAATTTGTGAGTGCAAGCGCGCATGTGCAGCCAATAAACGTGTTCTTCTACTTGCATGCAACACACACGTTCCCAAATCTTTGCTGCATAATTTCATTAAATTTAAAATTAAAATTAAAATTAAAATTAAAATTAAAATTAAAATTAAAATTAAAATTAAAATTAAAATTAAAATTAAAATTAAAATTAAAATTAATATTAATATTAATATTAATATTAATATTAAAATTAAAATTATTATATATTATTTCTCTTCTACGGTACTCACACAACGGCGGTGCATAGTACGTATAACCTGCCAGGTGAATTGCAAGTCTGTTTTTATTATTTATTTTTATAAAGTCTGCAAACAACTTGTTTTGGCGAGACGTTCTGTTGGGCGCGTTCCATTCAAAATGAAAGTTTTGTGGCGGAATGCGCTCTTGCACTTGCCACATATACACACACATGAGCGTTAAGTTGCGTCAGCGACGCGGCTGGTGGTGGCCGGCGCTGTGATATGGTTTGTGCACCAAACTGCCGCGCTTGTTTTGGACAACCTGCGATACTCCGCCGGCCTTCGAAGAAAGTTGCTCCATTGACCTGCTTATGTGTATGTGCAGATATGTATAAGTAATTGCATTGAAGGTTGCTGTCCACACATGGGAATGCTGGTTTTTTCATTTTACTTTTTTCGGTCCATATTCGGCGTTGCAGGATGCTGTCATATACACATAAACATTTTATTTTTTGGTTGAGAACCATTTTTCAACCTGTTGCAAGTTTAGCTGAGCTCCACTGCTGGTGGGAAATTTTCCAAATAGAATAGGAATGACTGATGATAATATTTGGTTACGAGGGAATTATAAAAATAGAGGTAAATAAAATTAGTGCGAAAATCTTATAAATTATTTTTTTCTTTATGCAACAAAAGTTTTCCTGTCCCGCAACCGCCTCAAAAGATCATCTTTTTCCTTACCTTTTTTGTTGTGATCAAACATTTCACAAAATCACCGCGAAATTTCCCAGGCTTCAGCCGACGATCCAGGCGCACCAGGCAATTAATGGCGATTCGTTTTTTATTGGCCACTTTAGTTGCCCATCAGCCTCAACAACCTCTGAGCTGTCACAAGTCCATTATACACAGAGCCTCTGACTAATCACACCATTGAGGAGCACGGAAGTAGGGAAGGTAGTGCAAATATTAAAAGGGAAAAAAATCATTGCTCATTGAAATTCATGTCGCCGTTTGTATGTCTATCTGACTGCCTGCTAATCCCTGCAGCACTGTTGCAAATTGCTTTGAACAAATCATTAGGGCATTCACGCATTTATGAAGTAAGCATTTGTCCAACGTCTTGTCCCTTCTTATCGCCTCGGAATGATAGCACTAACACGCTCTTTGCCTTTTCACTCACCTTTCCCCTCTCTCTATTTCTCTCTATTTGGTGCAATTAGGCAGTCAAACCGAGGCGGCATTTCAGTTAACACAAAGCAAAGGAGTTTCCCACACAAAGCCCGTGTGGCAGATAACAACTGCGTTGCGAGCATTACATGTGGTGGCATCAAAGAATCATACGCCGCATCAAGCGCTCACTTGCTGCTAGCCATCTCACCACACACACTCTCTACGATCAACCTGTAAGTGCCGTTTGAGTATTTCTCCTTTTAAGTGGCGACGCTGCAAGCGATTAAACGCAGCATGCAACAAATATGAGCGCAGTGATTTACACATTATTATTAATGGCGTTGCTGCTGCCGTTTTTGTTGTTGCTGCATTAGGCTTATAAAGTTGTCAGTGTTGTCTCCCTCGAACCGTGTACAAAGTTCAGCTCATTTATCTCGCCTCAAAAGAGCTGGGGTGGTCTTGAATTTATTCTTTTTTATTGTTCTTAAAACATTTTTAAGTCGATACCTGCTTAGCGCGGCGCGAACCCTTGACTTAATGTAGCATTTATCACATTCAACACTGCGTGCATTTAACTTTGGACGCTTTGAAGATCATAAGCGGTTTTTATTACGCTTCATTGCAAAGGCGAATAGAAAGAGAGTAAGAAATTAAGTTGACTTGATACCTTGGCAGACGATACCACCCAGAATTGTGATTAATTTCTATTGAAATATTTGACTTGCTCCACGGTGTTAGCTGGGACGGTGATCACCAAACGAACCCGACTGCTTAGCAACTTCAAGAATCACTAACTTTGAGTTTACTGCGCAGGTACTCAGCTTCCCATTAGATATTCCGCCTTTTCTTTCTGTGAAGCTTACTCGTTTCTCTCTTACCTATTCCTTCTTATATACGATTTTTTCGAAAAAAATA